TTTTCTTTCTTAAATTCCTTTTTTTCTTTTTAAATTCCTTTTTTCTTAAATTTATTTTTTTAAGTTTCTTTTTTCTTTTAAAATTTTTTTCTTTTTTAATTTTTTTAAACATTTTTAATTTTTTTTTTTTCTCTTATTTCCTTTCAGAATTCAGAAGGGCTCGTGGCAATGCAGGTAAAACAATATATTGACTTATGTTTGGACTCAACGGCTTCAAATCTCTTGACTACTTCAGAAGCCATGCTGAGCACGGAGTGCTTTGTGAGCAGCAAATGCCTTTCGCTCCAGCGAAACGGAGGTGCTGAGCACGGAGTGCCTTGTGAGCGGCAAATGCCTTTCGCTCCAGCGAAACGGAGATATTTCCCTTGGCACTGAAATATTTGAAATTTCTGGTGTAGTTTGGACGGCTGAATGCATCCTTCTTCGTTCCAGGCTTAGAAATCTTTCTAGACTGGCTGTAGGGAGATTTTCAGAACGAAATGCCGTACAGCACAGCTTCCTTCTCGCGTTATTTGTTTTCGAGGAGTGTTTGTAACGCCCCAAATACTTATTTGTTGTAGACGACATCATGGTCGATGAGGACACGGCCCATCCAAACTTGTCTATTGCTGCGGACAGGAAGAGTTTTACGTATAAATCCCAGGTGCAGAAAGTGACTCAAAACGAAGGGAGTTTCGACTCGTCTGTCTGCGTGCTGGGCTCGGAAGGTTTCTCCTCTGGGAAACATTATTGGGAGGTGGATGTCGAAAAAAGCAACGACTGGGATCTGGGAGTAGCCAGAAAATCCGCTCCGAGGAAAGGAATAATGTATCTGTCCCCTAAAGAGGGATTCTGGGCTCTGGGCTTCAGTTTTAAAGTTTACTGGGCAAGAACCGAGCCATTGACGCGGTTAGCAGTGCAGAAAAATCCCAGGAAAGTCGGGATTTACCTTAATTGTGAAGAGAAAATTTTGATTTTTTTCAATGCTACGGACATGTCCGTGCTGTTCACTTTTAAAGACTGCACATTCTCCGAAAAATTGTATCCCTTCTTTAAAAACTCACACAAGGAATCAACCCTAAGAATTTGTTCGGTTAAAGAAGAATAATTTTATTTTTTTTTCTTAATACGGCGATTTTGTTGCGAAATTCAAGATGATGCCATTTTCTTAGACAAATTTAATGCTTAATTGCAATTTATGCGCTACACATTCTTGATCACATTCAGGGTTATGTGTAGTTCAATACCTTAAATTAAAATATTTTCCTTTCCCCCACTCTTTTCTGTACATATTTTGTCCAATACTCATGGACACGAGCTGTCCCATGCCGTGATTTGATAAATGTTGTGTTTATCTCAAGAAGTAGAGTCTTTTTTATTTTTGGGAAAAGAATTTCAGTCCTTACAATGCATTTCAGTGATGATCTTTTTCACCCCGTAGAGGTAACCTCTCTCCATGACTCTTCTGGGCGGAATTCTCAAAATTTTAGAGGGGAAAAAAAAAAAAAAATTATTGGGTGGAGAACACACCATCTGTGCTTGAAGAAGAGTCCGAAAGGCAACGTAAATTGACTTAACGCTTTGTGGCAGAGTCTTCTATGCTCTATTTATGCCCCACCAGAGCTGTCTGCTCCACAAGATCTTCTGAATCCTAACCTTTTGCTGGGTAAAATGCAATTTTCCTGCCTAAATACAGACATACACGATTCTTTAGGGCATCCAACACATCTACATGGGGTTGGTGGCACAGCACACTGGGACGTGCGTCTTTCTGAAGCGGCAGCTGGAGAACCCCTGAGGCAGAAATCATAGAATCATAGAATCAAGAAGGTTGGAAAAGACCTCAAGGATCAAGTCCAACCATCAACCCAACACCACCCAACCCATGTCCCCAAGCCCCACATCGACACGTTTCTTGACCCCCTCCAGGGATGGTGACTCCACCATGTCCCTGGGCAGCCTGTTCCAACATCTGATCGCTCTTTCCATGAAAATTTTTTTTTCTAATATCCAGCCTCAACCTTCCCTAAATGACGGTAGACGCTGACAGATCCATGTTTCCAGGCTGTCAGGGTTATTTTCTGGGAACCGTCCGTATTTCTCTGGAATTTAAGCTTTTGTCCAGAGCGTCATGGAGATGGAAGATATTTTATTCCTTTATTTTTGCATTGGTGATCTCAGGGTTACAGCCACATTTCTGCAGGGGGTGTAGATATCGGTGGAGCCTGCTTGAATGCCCATCTTGCTTTTCAACGAGCGCCACCGGTAAATTTCGAGTCAATTTTTATTGCGTTAATATTCCACCTCCACCGTCTCTTGACACAAACATCTCACGATAGGGAAGACAAGTGCCACCATGCTGAATGTCCCCCCGCCCCCACTTCCTCCAGCTTTATACGCCCATTGTGATGTCATGCGGTGCGGAATATCCCATTGGTCAGTTGGGGTCAGCTGTCCCAGTTGTGTCCCCTCCCAGCTTCTCGTGCACCCCCAGCCTACTTGCTGGTGGCGTGGGGTGAGGAGCAGAAAAGACCTTGACTCTGTGAGCACTGCTCAGCAACAGCTCATAATTCGATCGGTATATATCATTTTTTTGTATAAAACTTGAAATTTACATTAATATTCTTCCCGGGAAACTCTTCCAATGGATTAATGAGTCAAAAATGGATACACAACAAATCCAACAAATATTGAAATAAATCTGTTTTTCTTTAGTCCAGGTAAAATGAAATAAAATTGCAATATTTGACAAATCTGAGTTTTTACAAAATTAATTCTTAGTACAAGATGAATCCCTAAGAAGCATTTCAGAGACTGTTTCTTTCTTGACCACAGTTTTAAAAAAAAAAATTACTTTTTTTTTCCTTCCTCTCCGCTTTCACATCCTCTGCGTTTCACTACATCACTAATTTATTTAATAATTTCCTGCGGAACGATGTCACAGAGAGGGTAAGGTGTTTTTAGCGCTTACAGGGCGCACTCCCAACCATTTCCCATCGGAGCCTGGGCTGAAGAACGGGTACAGATTCCCCGAAATCTCAAAAGAGAAACACTCCAGAAGGCATTTTTCTTCAACATCAAAAAACGAAATCTCATCACGTTCCTGATCCAGGAGAACACCTACCACGCCGCAGGGCTTGCAATATCTTACGTCCTTCCCACCGGTCGAGCTGTATTCTCCCTGAGAAAACTGCAGGCTGAGGAAATTCCCTTTTGGGAAAGTATTCGTCGTGTTGCTGCTCCTTAGAGTATTTCTGATTTCTTCACACACCACGCCCAGCTCCCACTCTGGTTTATCCCCCACCTCCACTTCCCAGTAATGTTTTTTTCCCGAAAATCCTTCGGTAGCTAGCGCCATGGCTTTGGGTGGGTTCTCCTTCTGGGTGGAGGACATGACTCTGGTTTTTTCCGTAATGGTGAGGCTGGGATGTTTGAAGTTCTCATCCAGAGTGATATTAACTTGAGAAATGATGAAAAAAAAAAAAAACCCAAAACACAAAAAAATACAAAGAAAGAAGAAAAAATATAAAGCACCAAATTATTTCTCATTTTGGGTAAATAATAAAGTAATCTGAAAGGAAGTGAATAAAGGAGAGAAATTATAAAATAATAAAAGTAATAATGATAATAATGATAACAATAATGATAATAATGAAAATAATAATGAAAATAATCTGAAAGGAAGTGAATAAAGGAGATGAAATTATAAAATAATAACAGTAATAATGATAAAGATAA